TGCATCTAACAATATTAGATATTACAGCCACACCATCGACGAGGAGAAACCAGAAATAAAATAAAAACAATACTTGCTTATATATATCTTCGGCCTGCTAGGACTAACGATGTTCGTTTCACAAGTCTTACCCTTTCCATTTCATCATCGAACTATCAGCTCTTCGATGAAGTCAGCTTCTCCGGATTCAGATGGAACTAAGATATCATCGTCCGTGGTGAAATTGTAGCTCTCCCCAATGGCCCTCAGAAGCTGATACACTTCAAACATGGTAGGCCTCTGCTTTGGTACTTCCGGTAGAACGCAGTTGCATGCTACTTTGAGCACTTTGAAGATCTCGTCATCCACACTCTTCCTAAGTAAAGACCTGTCAATCGCTTCCTGCAGTTTTGACTCACTCGATAGCTTTGTTATCCATTCCACAAGGTTACCCTTGAAGCTTTCTTCCTCTGCTTCTTCAGATTCTCTTGTCACACTTGTTGCTTTTTGGCCTGTTACTAGCTCTAGAAGCACAACCCCAAAGCTGTAGACGTCTCCTTTTGGAGTTGCAACCATGGTTCTTGAGTACTCGGGGGCAACATAACCGAAATCCCCAAATTCCCCATTGACAAATGTGCTTAAATGGGTATCAATTGGGTTCATCAGCCTAGCTAGACCAAAATCCGAGATCTTGGGCTCGTAATCTGCAGTCAACAATATGCACTTTGAGCTTATGTTGCGATGGATGATTCTCGGGTTACAGCTGTGATGAAGCCACGCCAATCCTTTTGCCGCCCCAATCGCGATTTTCAGCCTTGAAGGCCAATCCATGGGCTTGGAGGATTCTTCATCTGCGGGATGTAAATTATCATAAAGGTAGCCGTTTGGCATGTGCTCGTATATCAGAAGCCTCTCCTTCTTTGCAACACAATAGCCCAAGAGAGGGACCAAGTTTCTGTGTTTTACAGACCCCAAAGTATTCATCTCTGATTCAAGCTCTTTCTCAGAGCGTAAAGAATCCTGCAACCTCTTTATCATAAGCGGAGTCCCGTCTTCAAGCACTCCTTTGTACATAGTTCCTGTTCTTCCTTTTCCAATGACATTATCTTTCTTGAACTCCTCTGTTGCCTTCATAAGATCCCTTAATTTCATCTTTGAAACCGATTTCTTAAACATGAAAACCTGACAAATTCACCAACACCCATTGGTGAACATAACAAGATACAGCCAAATAGTTTGCGTGTTAATAATCATTGAGGTTTTTTTTTACCTTAACGCCTTTCTGTCCTTTCAAGCTCTTTGCCCATTTGTTTCCTTCAGGATCATCATTCTTCTTCCGGACAACAGCCATTCTACGGAAGTAGAAGAACAAAGCAATCCCAACGACTAATGCTGCGACAGTCAATCCACCAACTGCCGCTGCAACAACAACTTTACCACGAGAGCCAGTGGAAGCTTCACATGGATCCAGAGGCCGACCACACAAACCAGGGTTATTAGCAAAGCTATCGGGTCCAAAGTGCAAGGAGCCGTTGAAATTTGGAACAGGACCTGTGAGTCGATTGTCGGCCACAGAAAACTTATTGAGGCGTCCAAGTAGCACAAGCTGGGGAGGAAGCGTACCGGTAAACTGGTTATGCTGGAGCATAAGCGTGTTCAAAAAGGTAATGTTGGAGACAGTGGGAGGGATTGGACCAGAGAATTGATTGTAGGAGAGGTCGAGAGTTGTAACAAGTGGAATCAAGTCGGTTATGTTGGATGGTAAAGGTCCAGAGAAGTTATTTCTAGAAAGATCTAGACCTGTCAAATCAGAACATTGCTTAATCCCAAGAGGAAACTTTCCACTGAGACCAAAACCACCGAGCTTAATGCTCAAAACCCTGTTCTCATCATCATGCCAGCAAGTGACACCAGTGAACTTGCAGATAAACCCTTCGGTCTGGTTGATAAATGCCCAACTCGATAAATAATCATTTGGATCTTCAACCTGAGATTTTATGGCGAGCAAGCAATCTATGTTTTTCTGATTTGCATCGATCAAGCTAGAGAGCAGCAGCAGAGAGAGACAGTTCCCCCCGAGGAAAATTGCAAAAACTAGTCTACTACCCATTATCACACCCTAGGATTTTATGGCGACCAAGCAATCGCTACAAGACTAGAGAGAAGAATCTAGGGATGAGCATCCAACGAACATCAAAATCCTGGAAGCAAAAAGCACAAAACTGATGGAAATTTCACAAAATTATTGGGGAAATCTTAGAATGAGTTGACTTAAAGACTGCTGATATGATAAGAAAAGGGGAAATTCAGAGGAACTCACGAATCAAAAACAGAAATGCAAAACGGGACCTTGGGGCTTGTTCGTGCTGCTCCTCCTGTTCATTGAGCAGA